CAGTTTTTGTGTGCAGCATTTTCGTTCGGTGGCAAAATAAGCCCGAAAAACATATAAAATCGCGGAGCCCAGCCAAAACCCGCCCGCTTTGATTCGTAACTCATCGACGCCTGCAAGTAAGTACTGTATTTTACAAGTAAAAATGAAGAGGAGCACTTTTTATAATAATTTGAGTGCTGAAGAGAAGAGTTAAGAGAGAAGTGCAGAGAAATATAAAAGGCTGCCCCAATTTGCCGATTCGGATTGGGGCGAGTACAGTGCCACTGCGAATGCGCAAAATACTAGCGCGGATATTTCATTTTCCGACTCCGATTGCCGGTCGGAAAATGAAATAGAAATTATACCAACAGAAGAAAAGTGTAAGGAAATAAAATTGTGGGCAATTGAAAATAATATTTCACAGTACCAAATTGCTTTGTGTGCTCAAAAAAATTGGTGTTAATGATCTACCTTTGTGTGCGAAAACTCTTCTCCAAACTAATAAAAATAAAGCACAAATTCAGTCAATTGCTGGAGGAGAGTTTATGTATATTGGCATTCAAAAGTACTTTGCGTCCCATTCGTTTACGTTTTTAAATGAACAAAATGAAGTTTGAATAGACGTCGGAATCAGTGTTGCCAAACATGGGCTTTTCCTACCAAAACTGGTAGGGTTTTTTACCATTTGGTAGGTTGGTAGGCTTCATTGGATTTTGGTAGGTTTCGGGACTACGAGTAATAGTTATTTGAGAAAAATTTAAAATATGTATCTCTAAACATTTTAGAATTTTTTTTTACATGAATATTTCATCGGTGCGTTCGTATAACGGCGGCCGCAAAAATGATTCCTCAGTACGAACGTATACCCTTATTATTGCCAATATCCAATACGAACATCCATATATACTTTATGGCGTACTTGGACCAAGATTCCAGGAAAGTCTGCCAATGGGCTTGTACCCAACCATATTCTGGGAGGAGGTATTCGCAATCGAAGTCTGTGTTCGCGAATTTTATCGTAGAAGGCAAGCGTTAGAAGCCTTAGAGTCTTTTAAAACGGCATCTAGGCTTGTGAACTCTTGAGCCACCTGGGAGCCCACAATAGCATACCGCTGTGGAGGGTTCAGGGACATGAAGGGTTTGAAGGTAACGAAAGGGCTGACTGTCTTGCAAAGAGTGGAGCCCAAATGCGTTTGCATAGTTCCGAGCCTTTTTGCGGTACATCTAAAGATACACTGCAGACCTACATTAGGAGCTAGCTGGGATTTGCTGCACACTGGCGGAAGTCGAAGCGAATAAGACAATCAAAGAGTTTCATAACTTTTCAGGAGGAACTCCGAAAGATACCTTGAACTTAAAACTCTTACTGGCTACCTGACAGCACACTGCAAGTTAACGTACCGATTGAATTTAAAGGTCTTTCTGTAGAGACTGACTGTAGGTTTTGTGGGCCGGTGAAGGAAACCCCAGAGTATATTCAATGTGCCTGTCCACGAAGCATGAATAGTAGATTCATGCACCTTGGGGAAGGATTGTCTTCTCCATCTAAACTTTGGAGACTTGGCATCATCCAAAGAGCTGAGCTTTTTAAATAGCCTAATATTGGAGCGATTACAATTAGGATTTAGCACAATGTATCTTCTTAGGTCGCAACGCGGGTATCTCCGACGTAATAATAATAATATAGTCACTTGACACGAATAAAGACGCTCGGGTGTTTTGACGGCGAAAAAGGATGCGTGAAAAAAATTTGCGAAAAAAGACGCGTAAACATGGATTCAACATCATTCCGAAAAAACTTTTGGAGGAATTCGTATACTCGCAAACATAGTTGACCGCGAAAATAAGTCTTCTTCGTCTTTCTTCCCCGTTAAGAGCACAGTATAGACAGTAGCCAACCTTTTTGGGTTGTTGTTGTAGTAATCTTTGTTGTTGTAGCCATATTCACTCCTGAGGAAGGCACGGGGTTGTGTGCTGCTATTTAATGGCCTTCCTCAGAATTTTTCTTAGATTTCAGGGTTGTGTGCTCATTATTATTAGATAAATAAAATTAAGCATTTGACAAATCTTGATCTTATTAAAAGAAAATTATAAATGGTGCAGTAATTAAACAAATGCATAAGATGAATCCAAAATATGAATGCCAAAATCTAAAAAGTTATGTACAGTAATATGAAATAAACGTAATAAATATTTAAAAAAAAACTTTTTACTATGGTAAGAAAATTTTGCATTTCTGCTGTGCCAATTCGTAACTCTTTACTGCTGGAAATTTTGGACAGTTGCTCTGGTGCAAAAGAGATTAAGCAATTAAAATGCAGCAATTATAAAAAAAAAAAAACAAGTAAGAAAGTCTAAGTTCGGGCGGAGCCGAACATTAAATACCCGGCGCAAGTATTAAATATATGTTTTTTCACCTTTCCGAAACCTACCGCTAGATGGTAAGCCAGGGTGTATCAATGTACCGTCCTTCAATTTCGAAATATTGAAGTTTCAAGCATTTCTGAAATTTACCATTATATGAAAAGCGGCCGTAATTTTAGTCCGATTTCAATAATTTTAAACAGTTTGCTTTTATG